TCCCTGTTCTTCCTCGCCTGTTTAGAGAAGGCCAAACAATGGCTGCACTTATCGGTTCTGTGCCCTTCCCCCAGACAAAGGAGGCACAGATCATGCGGGTCCGTGGCGGGCATTTTGGAGCCACATTTTCTGCACTTGCGGAATGCCGCCTGTTACGCCATCGTAGAAAGAAGAAAAAAGGAGATAGGAAAGCGGGAAAGTAATATTTTTGTTTTGTTTTTTTTATATAGGAACGATAAAGAGGAAAAAATGGTGCAAAGTTAAGAAGAAATATAAGTGAAGTACTAACAACAAGGGATACAAACTTGGTAGGAAAAAGGAGAGATTTTCAAACGAGCAAGAAGGTAAGTAATAATCTTAGCGAGAGCAAAGCGGTACAAGGCACAACGAACGACGGTCGCAAAGACTGGAAAATGGCGGACACTCCACTCCTTATATAATGCTAGTGGGGGAGAGGGAGCGGAGTTCCCGCCAAAAACTGTTAGCTGTTAATCTTCCGACCAAAGGCACTGTGCAGGCGCAGAACCCATGTGTGTGATGCACAGAGGCCACGATGAAGAACAATTAGTGTTAAATGATTATAAGAGCCTTACAAAGAAGAACATAAAATTTGCCTGGCTACATATGCACAATCATTTACAATCTTTGCTGACTACCCTCTTTTGTTAGTGACTTGTGACAGCTCAAATGCCTGATTTTTTAAAATCGATGCTACTCCATTTTTCAAATGCTTTTCACCAGATTACCCATTAGTAGCCATATAAAATTATGATGTACTGATGGCAACCAAAATGGCAGATCTTGCTAGGGAGAAACTTGGTATTTTTGGATATGAAAGTGATATTACAACATTAAAACCCTGAAATCAACTTATTGCTGAATTCATATATGCAGTGTTCAGAATTAGGTAACAGCAAATCCAGCATTTATTCCAATACTCAATATGCTAACCTAAACATAAAGCACCTGTAAACTTATGTTCCAGAGATATGAAATAATACAAATTACCAATAAACTAAGCAATGCCATCTGCTTTCAAAAAAAAAGATGAAGCAAATACACTATTCACTACTTAATCTGATTTGAAGTACAACATAAACAAAACTTATTATATTTATTTTATTTCTACACTGCAAAATAGCTGAAATCCTCTAGTACACAATAAATCCAGTCACATGTACATCAACAACTTCCTTCAGCACAATTTTCAACTCACACATGCACACAGTAAAACACTGTACACCACACCTGATGGCTGTTGTACCAAAATAAACCTAACTGGTTTCTTTTCCACAAGGAATTTGTGGGGCTACAGACTGATAGATAGCAGCATATGTAAGAATTAAAGTAAGTCTTTTGATAAGAAGCACAATGAAGTCATACAATACAGCATATAAATTTGTCAATCTTATCTTAAAATGATGCATTGCAATGGATACAGAGCTTCATTTTTTATTTTTAGCTAAGTTTTGACTATCAATTTTGATCCTATTCAAGTGATTCTCTCTCAGCCCACATAATCTACTACACAGAATTCTTGTGGGATTTCTAAAAAGAATGATACATTTAAAAAAAGGCTTAAGATATACAGCAGATTAAAAAATCAATTTATTTGATTGGTCTTATTTTATTAAGAACACATTCTGGAATTTAAATTCTACAAACTTCTTTGTAACAATTTATATGTATCAAATATGAATAGAAGGGACAAAGAGACATTCTCTTCATGATTAGCTCTGAAAATCACTTCCGTCCAAAGATATTCTATTTACCTAACAAAGTTTCATGCTACTAATCAAACAAAAATAAAATAGGGCTGCAACAATTGAGAGAGAGGCTGCTTGATTTTGGAAGAGAGGGCTCATATGCCCCTCCACAGCCAGTGCAGAAATGTCAGAAGAACTGAGTCCTTAGTCAGAGGGGGGAATGGGGAGCCTTTCAGGAGGCAGGAATGGGGAAAAAACCAAATAGCAAAGGATATGTTATCTTGAACCTCTTCTAGCCTACTTCCCTCCTCCTCTGAAGTGGTGTTTGCTAGATGGGCAAACCATGCCCACAGTCCACTCAAATAATCTAGGCAGGGCAGGAGGAGGTCTTGAGGGATCCTGTGGGTAGCTGGTTGCCACTGTCTGTATGGAGACCTGGACTAGATGGACCTTGGGTCTGATCCAGCACGGCTTCCCTTATTTTCTTATAACCACTCCTCATACCCAGCACTGGCTGATAAAAAGCTTCCAATTTTGGAGGCTTGTGATAGTAAGGATGCAATAAAATTTTATTAAATTTTAATATGGGCAAAAAATGTTTTGAAACAACTTTACTTGATACACAAACATCCTCCTAGAAACATCTCTCACTCCTCCCACAGAGAAAAGTCAAATCCCTCTTTTAAGATGGAGCCTGTCATCTACAGTTTTTAAATACATGTATTGAATTTATATATAAAATCTGTCACCCAGTTAATTGAGGCCATATTTTCAGTAAAGTTAATTACATGACAGACCTAATAATGTGTTTTTATAGAATACTTCAGTGTAGCTTTATTGCTTATAATACTAGGTCATCACAATACAAGATAGAACAATAATCATAATTTAATGTATCATTTGTCATAGCAACATATAACAATAGAGCAGCCACAACAATAAAACCAACAGAAAATAAGGACTAGACTGAACTCTGAAAGTATGTTGTCACTGAGTACACCTGGTTAGCACCACAAGAGAGTTTTTTGGTAAATCTAAACTCAGAGTTAAGACCAGAGTTAAGGCTTCAATCCATTCTGCACTGAAATTATATGTAATTTAGCCCTAATTTAACCCATATGCATGATCTATTTTTATGCAAATTTCCTCTGTTGAAACACCCAGCACAATAAGCAACTCTAAGTGATACATATGTATCAGAAGGTTATATATATTCACACACATCTTATAAACATCAATGTTACCAAAAGTGCTAAAGTTTGCCTGACTAAGTCCACTACACACATAAGTTAAAAGGAGGAACTTGTAAACATTGATATTGTAAGATCCAATTTGCCTGTTAGACAAATTGACACAAGACCACGGTACAGAGAAGATTAGTTCTTAGAAACAGTACAATCCTATAGATGTCTACTTAGAACTAAGCCCCACTGAATTCAAAGGAGCTTACTCACAGGTAAGTGGGTGCATGATGACAGACTAAATATCTCAAAGTATTAAAAACAGAAATCTACACATTTCTAAATCGAATTCCCAATAAGCCCTACATTATAGAACATGTACAGCAAATCAATCCAACCCATTCAAGAATGTAATATTGCCAAAGGGTTACAAGTCATCTATTTACATGAAAGTTGCAATACATTCCCCTAATAAGAATACAAGGGATTTTTATTACTATATTTATCTTGGACAAATCAACAAAGATCTTAAAAAGCAAAGAATCATGAAACAACCAATGTTAATCTTACTAAGAGTAGACTCACTGAAAGGTATGATTTAAGTTATTTATGACTAACTGAAGCCGATTCATTTTGATGTACCCACTCTTAGTAGAAATAAGAGTGTTCTGGTTCATTCATCACAATGGCAATTCCTGGTTTGTTAGTCCAGGAATTGTGGGGATAAGTGGAACATGCAAGCTGTATACTCCTCATTTCCACCTTTAATCAACAATCTTGGAGAATTCTATTCCTGGATTACTTCCTGATGGGCAGACCAGATGATCTGGGTTGTTTATAGATTAAACAATCCAAAACTAACCCAACAACAGAGTTAACCCAATCCATGTGCAATTACTGAGGTAACTCTGGGCTGTTTAACCCATAAATAACCCAGAGTCTCTAGGTTCACAAATCTAGAGCTGTTAATTAAAAGCTGAAAAGACAAGCGTGCAGTTCACACATTCTGATTATCTCCATAATTCCTGGGTTAAACAACTACTGTGCCATGCAGACCAAATCACTGAATACTACTTATGGTAAGCTCAAACAGAAACTTACACTATGGTAGGTTTTAGTTACAGGGTTGTGTTCTAGCCTCCAATCCCTTCTTACCAGAAGTGGTTCCAATTTTTTGTTTTCTGTACCTGTTAGAGTACTTTTATTTGTCCCATCTTTGCTGTTTAGCATGTCTCGCTTCAATGTATTATTGCAAATTGCTGGAGCTGTGATTCTTCAAGGTCCATCCCCTTCCCAATTTCAGCAGAAATTAAATATCTGAAGGAGCATGTTTATGCATCTTATCATCCGTGCACATATGGTTCTATGTATGACTACAGTCTGACACATGCTTACCTGAGAGTAACCCCCAGTGAACTTCTAGACAGATATACACAGAACAGCATTGCAAGGCTGTTCATGTGTATTTTAAAATAAAAACAGACTACCACGCAGTGCACAGCCTGGTATTTCATGCACTGCAACTCCCTAGATACACTATGAACTAATGAAACCTATTACACAACTATTATTTCCTCATATATCCTTAGCAAAGAACATAAATGGATTTTTCCAATGTATCGTTATTCTAAAGCATAGTCACCCTCTCGGTTTTTTGATCAGCAGAGGGTAGAACCAATGAACTGCTGAATACGGGCGAGGATACTCTCAGGCAGAAATACTAGGTATCAGAATAGGGGTGTTACAAATAAGCTCCCATTTCCATCTGTGAAATACTGGAGGAAAGGAGGCGATATATATCTGCATGTATCCGGCGATATGCAGATTCTGCGACCGTAATAAAAACCGACCCAACCGTGGTCCTGCCCCACCACATTGCCAGGTATTGTGTCAAAGGTGAGGATACTCCTTGCAGCAACAGGGCACGACAAAGCAACAAAATCCCCTACCCGGCAGAGCGCCTCCGGACAAGGAAACGCGGCGGGTAACCCCGTTGCCAGCGGCGCATTCCCGCCCACCCGCTGTCCTCCCACTTGCGACTTACGCCCACAGGCAAGGGGAACCCGCTCCGCATCCACTCGAACCACAGACGTGCCTTCCCTGGAGAACTCACCTCAAGGCGCCCGTTACTTTCCGCCGCCTTACAAGCACTATCGGCCATTGGTCCTCCTCCCACCTGCCGGGCCATCAACATCGCGTCACTTCCGGCATCACCTGACACACAAGCTAGCAGCCTCTGACTCGAATAAGTCCGCATTGACAAGCCGACTTCCGGCTCGGCGGCGCTGCGGGTGCCGGAGCAGTGCTGAAAGACTTACATAAACGTTTCGGATTCGGAGTGGGCTTTATAAGGCGTATTTAGCCTAAATCGCGGTTACTGCTAATGTGAACTCTGTAGCCGTTAGAATCCCAAATGCTTTTCTTCCGCAGTAGTCACTCTTAGCAATAGTGCGTGAGAGGCTCGACGATGGCTTAAACTTCATGCCTGCGGGAGACTGAGACTGTAATATGCTTTCTTGCATTAGAGCAACGCCCATTGAACCCAATGATACTTTTCAGGAGGCGTATAGAATTGCATTATGAACGTAATTTGATTTTGAGCTAAATTCCTGCATTCATGTAATCATTGCGATCTAACTTTTAAAAAGATGACTCCTTTACTACGGTATCAGTGACTATGACAAATGTATCGTGTTTCCTGACCGTACATCGCAAAAGGAACACTCTAAAAACTATAAAATTAAAGGTGTGTTACGGTGTTCCCGTTTTAGTGTGTTTCACTTTATGTAGACGAGGCAATGCGAATACCAATCTTAGCCATTTACACATTCCAAATAGGTATCAACTAACGCGCTTACTTGTATAACAAAGTGGAAATTAATGTATTTAAGGATTTGGTACATTTTAAGTGAACTAAAAGTTTCTTTTAATTAAAAGACGCTTGCTCCTTGAGAGGAAAGCTACGGCAAATCTAGGCAGCATATTCAAAAGTAAAGACGTATAGGGTTTTTCCCAGTTGTAATGTATGGCTGTGAGCGTTGGACCATAAGGAAGGCTGAGCGCAGAATTGACACTTTTTGAATTGTGGTGTTGGAGAAGAATCCTGAGAGTCCCTTGGACCGTAAAGAAATCCAGTCAGTCAGTCCTAAAGGAGATCAACCCTGACTGTTGTTTAGCAGGACAGATACTGAAGCCGAACAATAGCAACATATTTTGAGTGTGTCTGAATCTGAATAGGAAACTGATAATGGGGCATGCTTTTCAAAAACAACTATTAATGTTCTATTACGAGCCTGTTCCCCGGCTAGTCGATCGGTAGGAAAACACTTTTGGTAGTGGCCTAGGAGAGCTCCCCATTTTTGTTGTGTTTCTTGGTTGAAAATGAATGGGAAGACTGAACTTTGCAAACCACTCAATTCACAATGTCCTCACGAGATAATTAGCACTATCGAATTCAAGGAGGCCGTCAAGCCCGAAGGATCCTCGGAGAAGGGCCGGCATTGCTATTCCCCATCACTTCTCCCTTTCTATGGCAGCTTATACAGTTTACCTAAGTCTTTCAAGCTGCTTTTCAAAATACCTGTATTTTTGCAAACAGAATATACTAAAACATATTAAGACTTTATTTTGATGGTGCTACCACCTTGTTAACTGCTTTTGTCGGTTGTTAGTTTCTCTGGGCTCCTTGTGAAGGGCAGAATATAACGCAATTAAATAAAAATGCAGTAAAAAATAAAGCGAGCATCAAAACGCAACTTTAAAACAATATAACAGAAAGAGCAACATAAGCCATCTCTTTTCTATCCTGTAAGCCAGTCTATTCCTTGTCAAGATCCACGCCTTGCTTCATTTGTAGAGTGCATCGATTTAATCGTTGCTGCGCCCATGATTTTCCAATGAGTATCCGAAAATTGCTAACGGGCATGCTTTTCTTTCAGCTTAGTATAACTTCGTATAAATGTAAGGGAAATGAGGCCTGGTTTAAATTGCGCACCGTCTGGAGGAGTTGCTTCGATAGTACACCGACGGCTCGGAGGCGTTCAAGCGGGCACGAAATCCACGCCTCCGCCGGAGCCTTCCCATGCGCGCCCGCACGAGGGCGGCAGGCGTCGCTCACGCTGCAGGCGGGCTCTTCTCGCCCGCACAGGCGCTACCCCGCCTGCACTGCCTCGGCGCTTGTTGGAGCGCCTGTTGCCTGGACGGTCTCCCCAGGTCCGTCGCGAGATCATGGCTCAGCTTTCGCGGGGCTCCGCTGCAGTGGCGGTGATTCGGCTGTGTAACCCTCCGGTCAACGCGCTGAGGTAAATTGCAAGGGGACTGCTCGCTCCGAGCGTCGGTGGACTTTAGGATCCAGAGTTCCGCGCTCCGCCTTCGCCCATCCGCGCAGGGGACAGGAATTTCTTTGGCAAGTTCCCTTGCAAAACTTAACTGGCATCCCTGCACCAGGCTTGTCCTCAGACAGATCTGTGTTGTCCGATCGTTCCCCTATATGTACGGAAGAAAGCCCCCGTTGTATTGGTGGTGCTTGCTGTTAGGTTAAGTGCAAACAGCTTTATTTATTTGCATGACTGCAGCCCTCTCCCATGTTTCACCCTAAGACTGTAAATCCTTTTAATGTTTGTTTACCGTGTAGCTTGATTATGAGGTCTGAAGATTTCCAGGGCTTGCATGCAATTTTGTGACTGGGTTAGTTCAATAAAAGAATTAATTAATATGGATGTTAGCACTTTTCTTTTTGGATTTACTTCTTGGAGCCATGCTTAGTATCCTGTTGAACTGAATGTTTCCTAGAAGGGGTTTCTTTAGGTTTAGAGCCTGTAAGGCAAGGGTCCCCAGTCCTTCTAGATCTGTGGATATTTGGAAATTTGAGGAACTGCTGTGGGCAGTGTCACAAAATTCACTCCATATGGGATGTGGCTGCTCACATAATGGCTGCTCTGGACGTCTGGCTAATTAGAAGCAAGCTGAAAAACTGGGGCTGTAGCAGAAAGAATAGTGAAGCTATAGGATGAGAGGGGTAGAAGAAAGTGAGAAATAATAATTTTGTTAACATTCTACTAACTCGTAAGAACATAAATAAATCACACTTTTAACAGTAGCATATAATGATGACAGTATAAATTTCAGCAGGGGAAAGGTGCCAGTCTTGAGATAAAAACTGGTTAATATTAAAACTCAAAAGTCTCATGGTTTTAGGACTTTAGACATTGGGATGAGCCATGGCAGTGAACTCAACTGAAAAGATTGGTTTAGTTAGTTATTAAAGGAGTTGTTTTGCAGATTTAGCAGAACATTTTGACTATTAAACGAATCCTTAGCCTTTTCTTTTTCAAGTGATCTGAAGCTTCCCTAGCAAATGCTAAACAAATCTAAGCATAAGACAATTCACATTGAGCTCAGTGAGTTCAGAGGTCATGTTTTTCCTTTCATTTAATTCACTTGATTACATTTCTGTGCAACCCAATAGCTAAAGTTCATTGGGCAGTTTACAGAGATTTCACTACACCTAATTGTAGTTGTACCTAATATAAAACCAGTTTATATATAAACAAATAAACAGACTCTCATAAACACAGGCAAGCAGTCCAAGCAATTTTAACAGTCAACATGCCCTGAAGACATCGTATGCCCTGACTGTCATATGCTGCAAGTGCCTGAAAATAGAGAAAGGTCTTATCTAGCACCAAAAAGATAATCTTGGAGTCAGGAAGGAGGGCAGTATTGGAACTGAGGAGTCCATTCCTTTATCTGGAGACCACTACCAAGACCCGTTCACTTATTGCCAACCTTCAAGCCTTCCTCAAAGGAGGGCCATAGATAATGAGAATGTATATATGCATAGTTTCATGCCAATAGAGATGCTATAGCAGGTATTGCTGCCCCAAGCCATGTAAGGATTTAGAAGTCAAAACTAGCATCTTGAATTCTAGCTTGCTGAGTTCATTTGTACCAACTTCAGGAGTACAAGAGGATGGTTTTAGGCACCATTTTCAAAGGTTGCTATCCCTTGTGTTCATCTAATGACCTGATCCTATTCATGTTTATGAGTTCAATAGGACTTATTCCCAAGTAAGTGTGCATTTGATTGCATCTTTAAGCTACATACTTCCTGATGTCTTTGCATAGGCTGTGGGGCATTGTCGTTGCTTCAGGTAGTGCTTCAGGGTAGTGACAAGAAAAACCAGAAAGAGTATGCTGGGAATGTGCAATCAGAAGAACATTTAGAGTTTATTCAGACATACAGGAAATACTTGCAGCATGTAGGTAGCCTCTGAAGGAACTACAAAGATGGAGACTGCACAAAATGCTATTATAACCTGTCAATTACATACACAGTTTTGGGGAGAGTGGAGGATCTAAGCAGTTGACTAGATGCACATGAGAGTCAAACTATAGGATTGAATGGATTAAGAGAACATGAAGAAGCTTCAGGACAGGCACATGTTAACATATTTAAGGTATAGCTGGAGAGCAATACTTGCAACATGAATTCCTGATCAGATCAGGAACCCCACCTTAAGTCTAAAGCTGTTCTTACAGTATCAGGCTTTTAGCTGCCATATTATGACATAGTTTTGCCCATCTTGTCCTGATAGTATCATTTTGGAAGCAGAGTAGCCACACCTATTTGGATCCTCTACACAAAGGTTTGCAGCGGGTCTGGCACAAACTCTCACTGTCTGCACAGCCTTTTCTTTACCATGTTATCCTACCCTTCCTCTTACCGCAAGGCATGTCCCTCTACCGCTCACCCTCACCACTAATCGTGCTCCACCTTGCTTTGTCTGCACCCCCCTCCCCCTTCTCTTGCCATCACTTTGGCTTGCTGGAGAACCATGTGACTCCTGGGAGCCTGCCCACCTGAGGTCCCTACTGGCTGCCCTCTTCCTTGGCACCTGCCACAGTGCAAGAGTGGGACTGCAGATCCTGCTCCTTGAGGTGGTGCCTTCAACCTGCCTCAAGGGAAGGCTGACCATGTGCTCCCCATGCATTCTCTTGTCTGCACCCCTCCTTCTTGCCAAATCGGCTCTCTGAAGAAGCCTCATGACTCCCAACAATGCACCCCCTTGCTGACCAGTTCTCACTGAGATGGCTTACCGTCTAGGTGAGGGCAAGGCCACACATTTTGCCACTCTTCCCACTCTGCCACCTGAGACAGGAAATTCAGTTTGCTTGATGAGAGGACCAGCCCTGTCTCACAGCCATAGTACAATTTAAATTCTGCATGAAAGAAGCACCCAGATAAAGATTGTGCAATACAAAAGTACAGGAGAAGCTGAGATAATTTCAGTACTTAGGCACGTCATTCCTTTGCCTATAGCAGCAAGGCCAGCCCTGTGAAAATGCTATACAGAGGGTAGGGGGGCCCTGCGGAATGGGATGAGCTGTGCATGAGGAGTTTAAGCAGAGGTACTTTCTAACGCAGAGCTGTTCATTCCACAGAAGACATCCTGTATTCAACCTAGTCTGTTGCGCAAATAACCACTGTTTATAATGTAATCGTCACCATTTATTCTTTCTACATGTCATTTCCCTTTGATTTCATTGTTTACATTCCATTCTAATCATGTATGTATCACACTTAATGCATCCATGCATCTAATGAAGTGGACATGAAACCTTATGCCATATTAAAAGTGCCACAAAACTCATTATTTTTCCTGCAGTAGAAAGTAGTAGTCCTTCTACTATTTTTTAAACTCTGTTTGAAGTGTTTGCCACTACTTTAGCTCCCTCTAGGGTTGGTTTCAATCTTTTAAATCTTCATGCTTTTTCAGTGATGGGTTTGTAAATTATTTTAGACATTGGATTGAAAAGGCAAGAGATAAGGGGGTAAAGCACATTGAAAAATGGCAAGTAAAAAGGTAATGTGCTGAACTTTTGTTTACAGGAACAATTTTAGGTAAACTCAGCATAACTTCATGGCATTCATGATAAGACGACTCTAAAAACAGGCACCATTACAATTTTCTTTCACTACATAGTCAGAACTCTCTGAATAGTTTACAATGGTACATAAAAACATTGCAATGAAATACAGTAAATGCCTTTACATTTTTAAAAAGGAAACATTAAAAAATTAATACAGGTAGAACATATGGTGAAGAATGATCCTGTAAAAGAAAAACACCTGGGATGGATAATCCTCTCAAGTCCCTGGATAACCAAGTATATCTTTAAAAGCCTCAACATAAAAGGTAGCAAGTGGGTAGACAGAACTGTGTGTGCCATTTGACCTGCCTGTGTCCCCCAGGCTAGCCTGCTGAGCTGCAACTGGCTGCTTGGGTGCCCTGTTGAGGTAAGAGCCTATTGTTATTCCAATCAGCAGCTATATGTGAATGTCCTTTGCCTCAGGCAGAAAAATGTTTTGAACTAGGGAGTGATGAGATTGGTGTAACAATGAACAAGGAAGATACTGGGGCCACTGTACTGAGGAAATCATATGGACAGTGAAGGATTGAGACAGGGGAATAGAAAGAGTCAGGATGGCTTCTGGGACTATGTATATAACCCAGTGTCCAGAAACACATGGAAATTACCCCATCAATAGCAACTAGCAAACAGCAGAAGACCCATAGAAAATAGACAAGGTCACGAGCACAGACAGGAATAGATAAGGTCATCAAGAGCAACCAAGCACCCATCCAACAATTGGCCTAAGTCTGAGAAACTCCTCTTTCCCATAGCCAGGGAGCCATTTGGCTAATGAGGCAGGCTAAAAATCAAATACATAAATAACAGACACTCATGTAGAGAGAAATAGTATAAGGATCAGGGACTTAGGAAGGAAAGACAGGCTCTGAATGTCGGGGAAAGGGGGTGGGTCAGGCTCTGAAGCCAGGCTTGGCACCCCAGCCTTCTTTCCCACACAATGGACTGCTGAGGAGAGTCTATCCAGCAAGACAAGTAATGGACCTCTCTCTCTCATTCTCCCCCCCACTCCCCCCCCCCGTGTGTGTGTGTGTGTGTGTGTGTGAGGCAAGAAGTGCTTTATCTCTTTGGAAATAGAGGGCAAGATAGGGATGCAACAGAAATATTTGCAGTCTAGACAGCAACAGGTTAAACCTTGTGCCTGCTCTATATTTTCTGCTGAATACTTTAACTTTCTAAGTGTTGTGTGTGTCTCTGTGAATGCAAAACCAGGGCTTGTTATCTTTGGTCCTGTGTGTTAAACCCCAACAAAAGATCTCAGACCTTTCAAGGCAATCTGGTGGGCAAGCACCTCCTTTGGAGGTGTATTTCTCCCCAAGATTACCTGGGGTAATATTTTTATCCAGAAATGAAGTGGCTAATTGATTTATTTGGTTTATTTTAGTGCTACAACATTACAAGCTTTAGAACGAGAAGTGAACCATGCAAATATGGATCCTACTGTGAAAGCTGTTGTGATTTGTGGGGCAAATGGAAAATTCAGTGCAGGTAAAAGCCTTTGAATTCACGTGTAGGTATCATCTTTCTGCTCCCATTAAAAATGATGAATTTATGAAACTCTCTTTGGTACTGTGGCATTGGCTACATTCTTGGTATTTGCTGGAGAATGGGGAATGTGGGTGAATTAAATGACAACATGCATATTAAAGGTTCTAGCTTTAGGATGCAATCCTATGACTGTTAGACACTGACTACATAGCCATGGGATCAGTTGGGGTTCTGACTCCAACTTCAGAAATGTATTTCTGAGCTGGGACTCACCATGGAGTGTCCTCTCTCTGTTCTCATAGCCAGCATGGGCCTCTCTGCATTAACTGTGGCTCCAGACCAGTAAGGGGAACTTTGGAGTCAATGCTTTTGCAGGCCAGGGAGAGGAGAAACAAGCCTCCATCGAGATGTGAGCGATCCCAGTGGTGCCTCAGCCCCTTCTCCTCCTGACCAGGGGCAAAAGACATAGATAGCTGATATCATTCATTTGTGGGGCAGGCAAACTGCTGAGACAGCCCTTGCCTCTGCATTCCTCCTGTCTTCACTGGGTTAATCCTTTGGGTTCAAAGGGTTATGAGCAGCCACATTGGATAGCATCCTTACAGTACCAAATAAAATAGAGCCTGAGCTGCTTTCCCACACATCATGTAAAGTGCATCTTAATCCTTGAACTGACCAGTGATTTTTTTATGATTAAAATGGGAAATTATTTCAGTAACATAAACCCCTTTTTTCTACCATTTTCCTACCCCTCCTTCAGCTTAACTTATGTTAATTATCTCTTAATTATTACTCTTGTTGAAGTATACAGCATTCTGTTGACTGAGTGTGGGTGGGTGATGTTTTATTGGTTTTCATATTAACTCATTTAACCTGTTTGAATCAATCACAACCCTGTAACTTGTTAACCATTATATTTAGCCTTTTCGTCAATTTCACTAACAATGTAATTTACCTAGATTATCTGTAAGAATGTATAGCAGATCAGTACAAGACCCTAAAGTAGAGACCCACAGGGAATATTCCTGTTTAAAATTTACTTTACATCTGTTATTCTGCATGTATATAATTTATTATGTAATGAGTAGTTGGATGTTATTACTTAATCAGGGCTGCAAACACTTACTAAGACCATCTCATGTAAGTAAGCATACACAATTGTTATGCATACTTTACTATTCATTGACACTGGTATCCTTCCATTGATTTCAAAGACAGGTAATTTGGAAGGGACCAAAAATTCATTTTGTTCAACCCTTGCCTATGGCATATCAAGTTACTTGTGGATGTAACCCATGGTACAAACCAACATCAGTATTTCATGAATTTCCCTCTAGATACATAACATAAACACAATTTTCTGCAGTTGATAACTACAAAAGGCATAGGTTTCTGCTAAGTGTGATTCAGCTAGGATATTCTTTGACTTACAGTTTTCAGACATCAGTTATTCCTAATAAGTTGTTTAATCTGGAAACATCAGTGAAACCATAATTACTGCAGTTGTGCTTGTTCATCCCCAAAGTTTCATTAAAATGTCCCAAGGACAAAAAATATAAAATATATTTAAAGGAAGCATTTATGTACACGAAATAGATGTTGGTATCTTAATAGCATCCCTTTGCAGATAGAAGGCAGCCATGAGAGAATCGGAGGGGAATTTTTAGCAATTCATATGTTCCTACCATGCCTTTACAACAGCTGCTCCAGAAGGTCCCCAAAACCTTCACAGCATTTTTGGGGACAGGGGTTGCAGGGGGAGTGGAATATCATATAAAATCCCCCCTCCTTATTCTATTAAAGAGTCAGCAGGGGGACAGTAGTAGTAGGACAGTATGAATTTTGACTTGTGTTGGTGATCATCTGAAAATCTACAGAGAATTTTAATGTTGTAGTTGTTACTTGTATTTATGAATTACTTTTTATGTGCTATCTTAAGTGTTAAAAAGCCATCAAGGTTGCATTCAACAATTAAAACAATAACACTTTAAAACAACAAAACAAGAATGTTACAAAAGTTAAAACATCAAAACTAAATAGAAAGGTGGTGTCTTTCTTGGTGTAATTCTTCAAGGGACATATGCCATACTTAACAGGTCAGCACGGGAGAACTGTGGAGTAAGAAGTGGATTACTTGGAGTAATCGTGGATTCACATGGTTTTGGTCAATTTCCTTATAGGTGCTGATATCAAAGGATTTTCTAATGTTAACCGGAAAGGCATGCCCAGTTTGGAGTCAGTAGTTTCTTTAATAGAGAAAAGTGACAAGCCAATGGTGGCTGCCATTGAAAGCATGGCTTTTGGAGGAGGCCTGGAGGTGGCATTGGGCTGTCATTACAGAATTGCAGATACAAAGGTAAAATGTTTTTTTAAATGGAAAACTTAGCTGAAGTTGTTGGAAGAACTACAAAAGCCTTAATGTAGCATCTTCCTATGGATTGGCATAAGGAGTATTATTTCTATCCCACACACCATCCAAACCCTTTGAATCTGAATTATAAAAATCAAATAATACTGAATATAGTGAAAATGGATGTATGGCATTTACAGTTCTATTCAATTAATATTAATCCACAAAAACAAATAAATGAAAGAACAGAAGATTAATAACTGAATATAACATACAAAGAGCCAAACTGAATCAATTCAAAGAGTAGTCCAGAGTTCAAAGAGCTCTTTCTTCCAAAGTCAGCAGCTACAGATAATGCAGCAAACAGAAAATAAAGTTCTTAATTAGAAAGGGTAATGCTTCCGTAAGCTGCTGTTCCCACTGGTGAACAGTCCACATTTAGCCAGAGATGAGCACTTTTGACTATACCTGAAAAGACATTTTGAAGCAGATGCAGGACCTTAGATCTGCAGCCAAATTTACCCTTCCGGGGTTTTGCAGAAGGCCATGCCCGTTTCCTCCAACCAGCCCAATCATTTGGTGGCTCTGCAGTTTCCTTCCCCCTCATTTTAAAAAGCCAGAATGTCTCTCCTAAAGCTTAGTCTGAGTTTTCAGGGGCAAAGTGCTGGTATTTTGGCACCACCTCTTTTGTCTTCAGTCTTGCCCAGCACTGGTCTTAATGAGTGTCTCTAAAATGGAGTTTGCGCCTCAGGCTGGAAGATGTCCTGCATCCCTGTGCCATGGCCTCGCCTGATACTGCTGAAGGCCTCACTGAGTTATTGACCTGGTTCACACAACACAACAAGCCATCATAGGTAACCAGGCTCAGTGGGTTGCCATGTCATCTTAACCTAGACTATTTCCTTCAGGGTGGCTTATTTTTCCAGCAACTAGACAACTATGGCTGGTTTTAGTGTTTGTTTGACCTGCAGTGGGGAGATGCATCATCCAACACTAGGCGAGCAATTTTATTACGCATTGCAGGGATCAACTTTTGGCAAGACTGGCAACAACCTCAGGCATTTTTCATGATCATGATTAAGGGCTAGATCTAAGGGCTAGATTACCTAGCTGTCACTTGAAAAGAGGAATAAATGGCAAAGGAAGATATACCCAAAGCAAGAGGGGCATGATCTACTTCCTATGTAATCCTCCAGCTTATAAGCATTAAACGGTCACTTCTCAGAGTCCTCAACCTTCTCAGTGCTTCCATGGGTGTATCTAGTGCAGAACGCATGACCTTTCCCTGACTTTTCAGGGCTTCTGAGTATTTTTAATACTGCCAGCAATCAATCAGTCCCTCTCTCTCTCTCTCTCTCTCTCTCTCTCTCTCTCTCTCTCTCTCTCTCACACACACACACACACACACACACACACACACACACACACACTTATATTAGAAAGTTAATATGTTCTGTTTGGCATTTAAAGTATACTTCAGTATGATTGATGGCCTTTCCACACAATCAGTTTTTCTCTCAATAAATGCATGGTTGTTATCTCACTCATTTGTTGTGCACAGTCCAGATTGCATCCTTGAGGTTGCATGTCAGTTGCAGGGTTTTCGCCGTTTTCCCTAAGCTGGCCACTGTGTGCCACCACCGCAGGTCTTTTCGACCTTGCACTTGTAGCACAGGGCAGAGAGCACACTTGCCAGCTTGACAGCTGACTCCAGCAATCGCAGCTCCCCTGTCCTCATCAGTGCTGCAAGCCAGAAATGATTTGTGCCGGTGGTTTGGGTGGAGATTGCTGCCACTGACTCAAGAATCCCTGCTTCTCAGTTCCCCTGCTCCCCACAGCAGTGGGGAGGAGAACCACTGGTACTCCTGATGGGTCCTCATGGAGGATCAAAGGGAGAAAAGGGGGAGAGAAAGGGGACTCTACTGTGACGTGCCTGTCGTCCCTCAGGCGCATTTTGTGTAGCAGAGTTTATAAGCCACATTGCATAGCTTGCTAACATGCTTATCGCACAGCAAGGATGCACTATCCCATCACCTCCATTAGATAGGGAGAAAGGGTGATATTTCTGGTTCAGGGATCAAAGTTTGCAAGGGCAAATTTGCACTAGACATATATTTCAAGCACAATATCTGATAGACATAGAAATATCTGGTAAGTAAAGGTATTTTAAATTAAAGAAAAAGGGAACCTGGTTTCCTGAAACTCAATTTTTTCATGATGAGTTTAGCTTTTACCACATTAAACTTGTATATAATTGGAGCTATACAGTGCCATTTTCTAGAAGGAACTGCCTGACAAGTTTGCTTTGCAGAAATCTTTAACCAGATATCCCATCTTTACCCTAGGCTAAGGTGGGTTTGCCTGAGGTCCTGATAGGCTTAATTCCTGGTGCTGGTGGGACTCAGCGGCTTCCTAGACTGATAGGAGTACCAGCTGCACTTGATATCATCACCACAGGTAAACGTCTTTAGGTATGAATGCAGCACCAGAGATGTCTTGTTTTTTCATTCATACCACCTCCATCTGAATTCATGAATGACAGGGCCTTGAGACTATATTGCTTAGGTTCTAGAACACCCAACCTAAAGAGGACCACACATTTCCCTCATTGCTCAACTTTCAGTGTGCAGTCAAACCTTGACTTTTTTGAAAAACCGCCTTTGGGTGGTTTCTAGGTGGCCTAAGGATTTTTTTTGTCTGCCGTGATTATTACATTATTTTTGTTGTTTTATAGATTATATTGTGCAACATGAACTGGTTAAAGTTTCAGCAAGGTGGGGAAGGGTTAGCTAAGAAGAGGGGTAAAATGTTAAAATTTCCAGGTGTTTGCTCAGTGGGATGCCAGCTCCCAAGATCACTGTGTATGCAGGAAGGAGAGATATTGTAAATTACACCCAAGGACAGGAAAATTTACATCCAAGGACAGGACAGGAGATTGCAGGAGTAAAGGCAAATGGTCTACTCTTGGGATTCATCACAACCATCACTTCATGGCTCACCTGACCTGGGTTAGGGGAATAAAGCCTAGGGCCTGAAGAGGCTTGGGATTCCTCTTCGAGGAGAGGTTCCACATGTTGCCATACTCCTTGCTGAAGAATGCTGTGTTACCCATGCCTGTGGCTGATACAGTTTATGTGCATGCAACTAAGGCTACACTCGCCAACAAGACCTGGGAGTTAGGGAAGTCTTTGGTTGCTGTGATCGCCAAATCCCCTCCCTTCCCCTTTTATGCCTTGTGTATCACTTTTTAGCTGTTTTACTAGTACCCTCCACCCCTATATTTTATCCTTTTAATAAATCAATATTTTTTCTGAATGCTTGGGTTGTTTTGTGCTGAATCCAGTGTCTGGTGCAGGGTTCAGGGACCAGGGAGATACTGGACAGGATTTTTAGCCCAGTTAGCTGCTGGGAGTGGGGAATCCTGGGTGGCTTTCCACTACATATAGTTTTAAATTTAGTTTAGATGATTACTCTTTGCTGGCTTATATATCTTCTTGACTATCAACTGGACTCAGGACTATCAACTGGACTCATCTTTGTCATGTAGGAATGGGTGGTTTAAGAGCACCTTAATTAATCTTAATTACTTCAGAGCACCCTAAGTGACTTAGGCTGAGCATCCCAGACACAGTCAACTGCTTCACGAAAACACATAGAACCCTGGAGTCACCTGATCCCTGATGAATTAGCAGTTCAACACCAGCTCCTGAACATCAACAGTGATGGCTTGGCACTAGAGCAGCGAGTTGATCAGCAAGCTACAACAGTGAAGCATGGAGTTTAACACCTGGCAGAACCCCTCACCTCCACCTTTGGGTCCTCTGGCACCTCACAGGTTACGGTACAGCCCTGTTGAACCCATTGTGTCACTATTCCCACATGATTTTGTATAGACTGCTAAAAGTGTTCCACCAGAAATATCTCAAGTCAACTGAATAGCAGGTGGGATTTAAGTGAACCCGTAACTCTTATTACTTTGTCCAGGAAAATATGTGCCAGCTCCAGAAGCGCTTCGACTGGGGATCCTAGATAAGGTTGTGGAAGAAAATACCATTGAAGCTGCCATAAGCTTTGCAGAAAAAGTTTCAGGTAAGAATCCTTAACTGTATTGAGCATCAGTGCAGCACAACAGACAGGACATGAAGCAGGACCCAAAGGTGAAAACCAGAGACAGTGACCAGTAGAAATAATTATAAAGCAGATCTTTCCACCTTACATGTGTATGAACTTATATATATGTATCCAACCAAACTATGCAAGGATCTTGACCAAAACTCCTGGGGCATTACAATAGGAATGGGGGACCTAAAACCAATATCCATCTCATTTGTTGAAAAATAGAGTGGTTTTACACAGATTTCTGTTTGTTAACAACTTCGGTGGCAACTGTACATCCAGTGTGCAGTGACTTGGAAGGACAAAAACTAGCAAGACTCCATAAGGAGCACCTGAGGTCTGCCTGAATGACTGAGCGCAGTGTTCTTGGTGCAGCTCACTCATGGGAAATTTTATTTCTCCAGAGTCATTGCCAGCAAATGGCTGAACATTGTGTAGCACCCAAGCAGCATTACTGCCAGCTGTGACAAAGCCACAATTGGCCACGTAGGAGAAAACAGGGACGCTGTTATAACTGCATGCTCTGATCACATCACCAGGTTAAAAAATGAGCGCTTATGCAATAAGAACAGGCTTAACATGACCAACAAATAACAAACACTTCAACCTAATATAGGCCTACTCAGAAGTAAACCCCTTGTATCTAACAGGACTTGCTTCCAAACAAGTTGGTATAGTAATGCTGTCTAAGGTCGCAGTCATATGCCCATTTCTCTGGGAAGAAACTCCATTGAACACAGTGCTGTTAATTAGATTGTAGTAAGTGCCTTGAATTAAGAGACAATCTAGGTGAACCACTAGATTCTCTCACATTTGGCTACCCATAAAGATGTGTTTCTTTTCATTTATTCCTTGGAGATACTGGTTGGTGACATGCATTTCCTAGGAACAAAGGTCATCACATGAAGCAGTATGCCTTCAGGTTGTTGCTAACCACTAAACCACTGTGGTTAGAGTCCTATACACACTTGTAGGACTCTAGAGAGTAAACTCAGTAGGACTTGTTTCTGAATCAACATGTTACAATAGTTACATGCCTTGTGATTTGGTTCTGGGGTTCGAAAACAAAGGAATAAGTGGTGGGGTGGAACTACTAACTTAATTTGAATTGTGTTAGCATAAATGACTACTACTACTATTACTACTACTATATACACTTTTATACTGCCCCATAGTCCATTTGGGCTTTCCAAGTGTTTACAGATTTAAAAATATACACAGAACAACAAAACAACAAAATAATCATATTTAACAAGCACAAAGAAAAAAATAAATAGAACAACATATGGACAACCTGTGGCCAAGAGTCTGTGCCCTGAATGGTGCTGAAACAACACCAATTGTAATGCAATGCCCCATAGTGTTAGCTGACATTCTGATTTCCATTGGGAAATCATTGTATTTGTTTGTTTGTTTGTTTATTTATTTATTTAAAGCTTTTATATACTGCCCAAGTATTAGCATCTCGGGATGGTCTTACAGTAAAAGCATCATAAAATGAAATGAAGCACAGCATCCGGATAATTCCAATAAGATAAAACCCACAAGCTGGTTTATGGTAGTGTGATGCATTTTATGCTGTTAGTGGTCCATGGATTCCCCATTGAATGCTGCCCACAGACTGCTCAGGTGCTTTGCAACCTGTGGATAATATCCAGTGTTGTCACAGTGCTAAGGCTAATGACATTGGGCTAGCATAATGCATGGCTAGTGCCATGTCAATAGCACTTCCTAGGGCAGAGGGGGAAGTGTCAGTTTGTTCTCCCACTGGCTCATGTCCCACTGTGGCACATTGGATACTACCCTGCATCTTCCGCAAATTGTCTTTTCAGCACATATAGTAACCTTATCAACAAAGAACAAATTGCCTTGTTTGTGCAGTATTTTTGCATCAGTTGTTTCGTTACTACATTATGCAATTTGTCCACCTGATGGCACCAAAACCTGAAAAATAAATGTTTCTTTCAGGATTCAGTCCCAGCACGCATGGAAGCAAATGATGGCAGTTTATTAGAGTTCCATAGTTCTTTGTGTTCATGGAGGTAGCTTCTGTGCCATTGTTAAATGAAGTCTGGACACTGTCTGCCTTAGCATCTATTGTTATTCATGGCTCCTTGAAAGAAGGGTGTAATATAGATGCAACATCTGTTGTCACTTCTGCTACCCATAGTGCAGCGCCACAAGTGCTTCAGTGCCTAGCCATACCAGTAATCGGTATGTCTGAGGCAGCTTTCCAGAAAAGCAAATTTTCCTAGTACTAAGTTGCCATAATTTTTCCAACAGTACTTCAAGCAAGACAGAGGAATTGGAGAGGAGGCTACAGCTTTTGTTGAGCCTTATGGACATTCCTCCAGCAAAAAGCCCCTCTCTCTTCTCATATGAGAGTTAATCAGAGCAAGACCAGAACGTGTGTTTGGATGGGACTTGAGGTGGGGCTCAGGTGTACTGATGCAGCGTGTCTGACTGCTGCAGTCCACCCACTGTGAGTGTGGTCTCTCATCCATCTGCATGGCAGACAGGGACAAGCATGCTTTGCGCTGTCTGGCCTTTTAATGTGCATGACAGAACCCTCCTGTCATATGAGATGGTCTCCTGAACATCTTGTCTGAGGCTGAAGTACCAGGGAGGAACTGTGGCTCAGGCACAGAGCACATGCTTGGCATGCAGATGTTCCCGGGGGCTGGGAAACTCTCATGCCTGAAATGCTGCTGCCAGTCAGTGTTGACAATACTGGGCTATCTGACTCTGTAGAAGGCAGCTTCCTATCTTCCTGTACCCAGCACTGGAAGCAGGAGAAGCACAATACACACACTTCACATTGTACAAGACATTGTACCTAGGCAACAACAATCTCCGGGCATCAAATAGGCAAGTCCAGACAGGTTCTCCAGGCAGATGATATTTGGCAGCTCCTGCCCATACTTGGGTTCTAATTTTCCACAATCTCATTTGTTTTAAGGGCCATTCCTGGCCCAGGGTTTCTCCTGCTCTCCCTTGGGAACTTTGACAACAATTGTCTGCATCTTGGTAGATGAATATTTTGCTGTAGGTGTTTATAAAGGTTTTTGAGAGGTACATCCATAATGTATAGATATGATCTTGGCTTTCCTATATTAATAGCACATGTAATAGTAGTGGTGGTGGTGGTGGTAATGCCAGTATCCATAGCCCCTTGCTTTGATTTTGCAAATGGATGGGCTCCATTACTCAGGTTGCTCTCCCACTTGTAAAGCAACATGAAAAAATGTTCAGGGACTCCTATCCTATAGATCATTTTCTCCCAAAACTAACCTAGGATTAGAACTAGAATTCACATCTTTGACTCGTGCTTAGATTTCATGGCAGTTGGAAAATATTACGTAATAAGGCTCAGCTTATACTGCCTCCTTTTCAGTAAATTAATGGTACAATCTTATTCAGACTAGACAGAAAAACATCCCAGCATTCCCCCATCCAGGCTTTGTGCAACAATTCCATCCACTTTTCCCTAACAGATTTTATGTTGTAAAGAAAAAGTGCAAGAAGTGGTAGGAAAAGATAGGAGGACTATGCATGGAAGAGTATGACATGTGGACTCCTGGTAAAATTCTTTGAATGAAGCTTGCAATGGTACCATAAACAACTCATCTAGAAGCACCCTTAGAAAACATGTTTGCCTTGTTTATTACTATGATGTTCTGTAATTCTCTGTCAACATAAAGGTTGCAATATCCTTTTTATGTAAAATGCTATGTAATTCTAACAACATTCACTAAGGATTAAGTATCAGTGAGCTCAGTTTTTATAAGTAAACACAATAAGGCTCATACTACATAGTTCTCAGGCTTTTACCAAGAGCAACACATTTCACATATGTGATTTAGGGAATGCTGGCTCGGAAAAATGCAGATAAAGCAATGTTTTATTGATTTATTTGATATACCCTGCTTTTTCATCAAAAATGGCACCCAAGGCAGCTAATATTATTTTTTTTAATTGTTCATCTAAGATTTTTTTATCAGGAGCACTTTTCAGAGGGAATTGAGATAATCTGCTAATTTTGTGCAATGCTGCTACTCTCTAACACCTGCCACAGGAAGCGAACGTTTCCTAAAGCCCAGGAAACCAGTGGAAACTCTTTTCTCCAAAATGGGGCAGTTTGGCAGAGCTTCCTTCCACAAACTCTACTGACTGGCCTCATTCCAAAAGCTAGTGTTTCCTCTTATTTTTGGTCACTCCAGAAATTGCTAGCTTCTGACTGCACTAGTGATGTGTCTGCTAGCACAGGGACTTACTGCTGGATACTGCTCCCTGCATGTGACTGTGAGTAAGTCCCATTAGGATTAGTGGAACTTACTTCCAATTCCAAATAAAGATAAGTAAGTTCCAGGTGGTCCAGACAACATTGACATCTATTTGTAATCCTTCCATATTTTCCCACTGTTTCCTCATTTTTTTTCTTACCAAGGAAATTTTATTTCTAAAAAATAGAATAGCTGGACAGTACCCTCTGATCATTAGTCCTAAAGCCCTTTGTTTGGAAGCACTGTGATCATCACTGGGTGCAGTAGGAATGTAAAGTAAATATAGCCACATATAGCTACAAAATAACTTCAGTTATTTTGAATATTTTACTTTGCAATAAAGTGCTATTGTGTTCATAAGTCTGAGCATCAAAGCATATAATTTCAGTTTTTTCCTTCCAGAAAACGTACAGGAATAGATTTCAAGTTTACAGCATAAGGTGCTAACCAGCTTTGTCATTGTATTTCTCTGCCCTCTTCCAGGTCAGCCACTGGGACCTCGCAGACTCTGCCTGAAAGAAGCTCCCAGGCTACACAACATGGAAGCCATCCTTGAGGAAGCTTTTATGAAGGTGAAGAAACAGGCCCGTGGTTGCCTTTCACCAGAAATGTGCTTCCAAGCTGTAAAAGCCTCTGTGTACTTGCCTTTTGAAGAAGGAATTTGCAAAGAGAGAGAACTCTTTCTCAAACTCTTCGTTTCAGACCAGGCTAAGGCATTGCAATATGCCTTCTTTGCACAAAGAACTGCAGAGAAGTGGGTGCTGCCCAATGGAGCATCCTCAAAAAATGCAGTCCCTCAACCAGTTCGGAAAGCAGCTGTGATAGGTGAGACAATGGAAAGACATGAGTCCTTTTTGGGTCAACTAAGTTGTTTTGTCATCAGAGAAATAATGCAATTTCAGTAGACCACACAGTTACTTTAAAGCACCTACTTAATCTCTGCTCATTTGTAAGCATCACTCAGTTGGGATGGAGGAGAACCAAAATTAGATTGTCCTGGAGTTTCTTGTGGGTTCCTTTCCTTGGGTTGTTAATGAACAACCTCAAAGCTAGCCTAATTGGAGGAAAACCAGGACTATTTCTTTAAATTTCCCAGTGCTGAGGGAGAAAAAGCCACCAGTGACCAATAAAGTCCTTTCTACCTCTGCGAGAAACCTAGTAGAGCATGCTAGTTAAATAGCCAAGGCTTGAATTTCACAGGTTGAATTTCCTACAAAAGTACCTATAGATCTCTCTGGTATACATCAACAGAGGTGCAGAACCTGTTCTCATTTCTGTCGCTTGCTACTCTACATGGGTTTTACCTAGGATAATTATCAAGGACATCATTGGTCTCAAAACCTGCCTTCTCCTTTAACTTGCAGAGATGGTTTCTCAAATGTAATGCTCTCCAAATGTGTTGGACTATATTTGGTGTCCACATGACTAATAATATGCATATGAACTAGGAATGGTGGAAGTTGTAGTCCAGTACATCTGGACGGTGACAGTTTGCTGAAAGCTGGTTTACTGTATGTAAAATGTATTCATTATCCCAAATGTTGCATTGATGACTGCCTTTTAAAGCCTCTGATCTCATTATGAAGATGCTCTTCCAGCCTTACAATTTCCCATTTCCCCCGCCCCCACCAAGAAAATAATGCTTTCATTAATTTTTTACCAAGGCGGGTGAGATAAAATTCTTTGATGCACTGCACAGATTTCTCAACGGTCCTCTGCTATGCTGCATATTGATCGGTATATATACTCAGTGGGAGACTGTTCTCTAAGGAGGCCAGCCTTCAGCAACGTGGCCTTTGGCTTTAACGGGATGCCAGCGCTCTTACCATGTTCTTCCCCCACCCCAAACTTCACTGTTATATATACAGGATGTGTTTTGCTGCAGTGCATTCAGTCTAGGCTCCCTAAAAGCTCACCTCAGCACAAGGCAACCCTGAGGGATATGTCTTCATATGTCCCTTTCCTTCTGTTTTGCAGTCTTAATTATCATTCTCTGCCTGATTCATACCCCTTTGGCGCAAACATCTTTGCGCAGTAAGTTAAATCTGCCTACAAGCTTTACTACAAGTTGCTAGGAATTCATTCACTGGAGAATTGACATTCATGTAAAGTAGCATGGAGCCTGAGGCTTGGCACATGCGGGATCTGCTTTTATGTTCTGTATGCAGGCTTTATTATGTATCTGCCATAACCCCACAGGCTTTGGTAGGATGGGTCTCCATTCAGAATTTCATGGGAAATCATGAGTGACCGGCTTGCTGCTAGTTGAGTGACAAATATGCAAAATATTATCTGTTATGAAAATGCAGATACAGGTCAAACGAGAAATATTAATTCTGAATTATTTATTTTTAATTTTTTAAATTTATTTTTCGACGTATATCCTGCCTTTTTCCTACAAAGGGCTCAAGGTAGCTTACATCATTCTCCTTCTCCATCTGATCCCCACAACAACAACCCTGTGAGGTAGGCTGGGCTGAGAGTCTGTGACTGGCCCAAGATCACCCAGTTGGCTCCATGGCTGAGCGGGGACTAGAACCCAGATCGTCTGAGTCCCAGTCCCATGCTTTTAACCACTACACCACACTGGCTCTCTTGGAATTAACCTTGGTATGGAATGGAGCAGGACTAGATTACCCAGAGGAGGGTCTTACTCCAACCTAATTCTAATCCTGAAGAGCATGTAGTGGAAACATTAGCATCAACCACCAACATCTGTTCATGTTGGGACTTTATTTGCATATTCTTCAGAGATTACAATGAACTTTTTTGAAAAACGAGCTTTTTAATTGGACATTTACAACCTCAATATATTTTAGTATATTTTAAGCATACTGAATTTTCTACAGCAGGTTTTCTGTAATTATACATGGGTCAATGTGTATTGGTGCAAACCTGCTCAGTTGCTTCAGGCTAACTGAATCAGAAATGCTTTTAAGGCATTGGGAAAATGAATTTTGCATGATTGATCACTGCTCAAGCATTTCTGGTGCTCAGCTACTTAACAAAGAGATTTGGTCCCTCTTTTGTTACCTTATAAAGAAATGATTAAAAATGTATTTAATTTGTGAGGGCAGCAATATCTAATGAAGCCAGCAGAAAGGCATGTATGCTGGATAGTTATGTGTATATATAATGCATGTAATTTCAGGGTCCGTATGATTCATGACTAGGGGCCAAATGAAGTGTAGTGTTTGTCAACCATAAATAAGATCCGTGTTTTTCTAAAAAGTTTAACAGTAGCCAAAGGCGGAGGTCTGATTGAAACTGCAGCACTGGGAAAGGAGGGTTTAACTCTTTTCCTTCTGAGGGATTTTGCTCATGAACATCTAACCCACCTCCTCCCTCAAGCTGGTGTGTGCCCAGTGATGCCACAACATAAAGACGCAGGTTTCAGCAGGCTGTTAGAAACAAGCAGAAAGCCATCACAACAGATCAGCCTACATGGGGAAACTTGGAGGGGGAAAGCACCTCTCCAGCAAGTGTAGGTGGCATTTAAAACATACATGATTTAATACAAATGAGCAAAGATCCAAGTGAATAGAGGCAAACAAATCCCCGGGGGGGGGGGGTAAAAAAAATTATGCCTTTGGTTTTGTAAATTCATTCTGATTCTTATCCAGTGCTTTATTCATTTCTTATTCAATGGTTTGTTTGTTTGTTTGCTTATCTTGGAGTACTCTGGGTGTAAAAAATGAGACAGTGACAGCAAATGTTGGTTAACAGCATACATACATACATCAGTATGTTCTCTTGCTTGCTGTTCTTGAAGAAACTCTCTGTGGTTCTTTTGCATGTAAACTAAGCCAGATCAGTACTGTAGCCCACGGGGGGGGGGGGGGGGTTTTCTCCCGGTTTTTTTCTTTTTTTTTTGGGTTTTTTTTTTTTTTTTTTTAAAAAATTTTTTTTTTTTTTTTTATGAAGAATATAAAACGGGATTTGGGGGGGGGGGGGGGGGGGGGGGGGGGGGGGATTTGCTACCTGGTTTGACCTGCTTTATTAGGAATTTATCTTGTTTTACTGACAACATCATTCTAGCTATTCCTCATGAAGCAGCTTTAGATTAATTTTTTAATCCCAGTGGTTTGCGTTTCTTTGTCTGGCTGTATAATTCATATTGATAAACCTGATTGTGTGTGTTTTGGACTTCATACTGCAGAGCAAATGTGTTTGCCACATTGTTCTGACCCCTTTAGAAAAACTCAGGAAGTCATGACAAGACATGTGTGTAGCATAGGAATATCTTGTTCACGATGAACTGGTTGCTCCTGCAGTAAAAAGGGGATTTGGGTTGATCTTCATCAGGTCATGAGGCCTAGGGCACAGAGTGGGGAGCTCTCTGAATCAAAAGATACATCTAGCAGCCTGGCCTGGAAAGCTGGAAGCATAATGTGATGTCAGCTAAGTCCTTTCAAATCTTGAACACAAGTAGCAATCACAGTGAATTTGATGTAATCTTTCCAGGAGTATGGAATGCCAGTAAATATTGATAGCATGCATCATAGACATGTGGAGTTACCCTCTACATTTCTAGATAGACTAAACAGATGAAAAGGCCCCCAAATTATGGAGAGGGGGCAACTTCATTTGGACTGCATTTCATGGTACAAACACAAGCTAGTACTATCATGAGACATCTCTCTCTCTCCTTGATGGCAGTTTGTGGATGTTTGATCAAATACAGTAACCTATGGTATGTGCAAACTGTGGTTTCCCTGCAAGCCAAGATTCCAATTCAAAGCAGAATATGCAAAGGATAGATCTTGGATGACCTGCAGCAGCGTCAGGCTTGTGCACTCCCCCTTCCCTCTCTTTGATGTGTCTGCAAGAAGTTGGTTGGAAGCTTCCAGGTCCATTTCAGACTAATCACAGATTTGCATGTTGGCTGAATCATAAATTATGAAAACAAGCAAACTTCATGAACCATAGTTTGAAATTGGCTTGTTACACCTCTGTTGTGAACTCACTAGGGGTACTTCTAGACAGATAGTTCATAGTACTACCAATTGAAATGTAGCATTCAGCTGTTCTATTTTTCCCTCCTTAGTGGAGAGAGGGCCTCTTTTGTTTTTGCTTTTTTGGAAGGAAAAAGACAGAAAAACTGGTGGTTAAACATGGAAGGGTTACAAATGAAAGATGACATAAGGGGGGCATTCTGTGAATAAGCATTTCTGTGAATGTGTTTGTTGTAGGGAACATAATATATGCGGAGCATTTTGAACATTCTAAAGTACTGTATTAAATATTATAGTTATATTATGCTTATAACTATGTCCTTGACTTTTAAGACATAACTATCCTTTGGACAAATCTTTGCTATAGAGTCTGCTGAGCAGAATCTCCAATGAAATGCACAATGCAGCCTACTTGCATGGTTGCTAACACTGCTTTCCATGTTAAGCTTTGCCATTACGGCCTTACTTAGAAACATTAATTCAGTGTGGTTTTTCTTATGTGTCTCAGTATTGTTTTCATGTTAAGACACTGTTCTATTAGCCCAGTTACCAATATGCAAGGGGAAAAGTTGCCTAATAAGCCACTCTTTATAGATTTTAACCAGATTTTCTCTAATTAATCCTTTTCTTTTCTCTTCCTCCTTTTATCACAGGTTTGGGGACAATGGGCCATGGCATTGTGATATCTCTGGTGAGAGCTAAAATTCCTGTGGTGGCTATAGAGCAGGATAAAAAGCATTTGGAGATGTCCAGGAGAGCTATCATAGGTAGCTTAGAACGTGAAGCATCAAGAATGCAACAGAATGGCCTGAAACTGGATGTGTATCTGCCTGACCTGATTCATTTCACTCTGGATTTTGAGGTGCTGAAAGATGTAGATCTAGTGATTGAGGCTGTATTCGAGAATATGGCTTTGAAGAAGGAAATCTTCAGCAGGTTGTCAGCAGTTTGCAAACCTGGAGCCTTTCTGGCCACTAACACCTCCTGTCTAGATATTGATGAGATTTCTGCTGTCACTAGCTGCCCTCACCAAGTCATTGGCATTCATTTCTTTGCACCCGCTCATATAATGAAGTTACTAGAAATAATCTATGGTCGGCAAACATCACCCACTGCCATTGCTACAGCCATGAACCTGGGCAAAGCTATGGGCAAAATTGGGGTTGTGGTAAAGAATACTTTTGGTTTTGTTGGGAACCGAATGCTGGCTGCTTACAATGAGCAAACTTATTTCCTCTTAGAAGAGGGCAGTACGCCAGGGGAAATAGACAATGTTTTGGAAGAATTTGGTTTCAAGATGGGTCCCTTCAAGGTATCGGACCTTGCTGGGCTTGATGTGGGCTGGAGATCTAGGGAAGGGCAAGGCCTGACCGGTGCCAACCACCCTCTTGGCACACCTGCTTGTCAAAGAGATGGCAAGCGCTACAGCCCACTCCCTGATATCCTGTATGAGAAGGGGAGGTATGGCCAGAAAAATGGGAAGGGCTGGTATCAGTACGATAAACCAGGGGGAAAGGTAGCAAAATCAGATCCATGGCTTCATGCTTTTCTTTCTGATTACAGAAGTACTCATAACATAAGAACACGCATCATCACCCATGATGAGATTCTGGAACGTTGTCTGTATTCCCTTGCCAATGAGGGCTTCCGGTTATTATCTGAAGGAATTGTATCTTGTCCAGAAGCCATAGACACCATCTATATCAATGGTTATGGCTGGCCCAGGCACAGGGGTGGACCCATGTTCTATGCTTCTGAGGTTGGATTGTCTAGGGTTCTAACAAAACTGCAGGAGTATGCCGAGGCTAACCCCGACATACCCAGACTGCAACCCAGTGCTTTTCTGCAGAAGCTTGTAGCCTTGGGCAGTCCTCCTCTGAAGGAGTGGTCAACACTTCTGGGATCTCAGCACAGCAAGTTATAAGCTTAATAAACTGCATAAGCTTTGTGTTCAAATACTTTGACCAATCCAACTGAAAACAGAGCACATTATAAAACAGTGTCACCGATTCTTCTAATTTCTGTACAATACATGCATATGTACACCCTATCTCTGGGAATGATAAACTACTGCTCACAGCATTCCTTTTTTCATGCCACACTGTGAAATGTTTCCTGCCTGATAATCTTACATGAAAACACATTCTTCCCAGCCTCTGGATTAAATCTATGGATCATGGCTAAACCACCTAGAAAGGGAGAGACACAGCTTGAAAAATGCAGTGTATATAGTAGCCTGACTTTCTAAAACCTCCTTACATCTACTCTTATTTTGTCATTCTATTGGCTTTATTGGTTCAGCCTTCAGATTCAGCAGTCCTGCGTCCAAGATATTTCTAAGAGTTTTTCCATCCTAACTTACCACTCTCCTCTTCTTTAGAATAGAAGGCATTTTGGAATCAGCTCTTAAATCTCTAGGTATTTTGGAGATCTGCAAGAGGTTCTGACAATAACAAGAGAAAGTCAAGATTCCTCCCCCACTCCATGCAATGCCTAAATTACGTTGCTGAAATGGAGAACACCAAGACAAAAACATGCAAAGACTACAGGACAGTTTGGTACTGAAATAAATTCATCTTTCATTCATGGAAGTTTATGGATAGTCCTCCAGACAATTGTCATCTTCTGCTTTTGACCCATTTTCTTCTGCTCTCTTTCCTTAACACAGAAAATCCACGAAGAATAAAAAGAAGGAACAGCTACATGCTGCCTTCTGATTGCTAGTGTTAGAAACCCTCCATCTGGAAGCACCCTATGTGTTAGAGGTACTCTGCTCCCAATTCTACCCCCCACCAACTGCTCCCAGCCACTTTTTTTCCATCTGATGCACTTAAGGGTTTTAGGTTTGTTTTTTGTTTTTTTAATTCTGGTAAATCTGAAATCTGCCCTTCTCTTGTTAGAAGATAGTACTTCAATAGCTCTGCAAAAAGAAATCCAGTGGATACTTCAATTTTACTTCTGATAATCATAATGGCCCATTTTCTCCTGCACTATGAATGCGTGCCATTTGAGAGAAACCGTTCACTGCAAAAGAAAAAGTGCAGTGAAGTAGATAAAATCTCCCGAGGAGAAACGTGGCTGAAGGACACAACTCTGCTTGGAGAACTGAGCTTCCACCATCTCACATGATGACCTGTGAATCATAGCAACTAATTATAAGCTCTTTAGTCTGCAATAGAAGCAAGTGCCTCACTCTTTGCCCTTACTAAATAAATGTGCCCTCTCCTTCCCAAAGTAGACTCAGGCTGCTTGTTTTTCTTGCAAGTTACATGGTTTCTAAGAGTCCCAACATGGTTATTTAAAGAGTGAAATGCAGTGGTTAAAGCGCTATAGTACAGCCAGGAAAGCCTGGCTCAGAGTCCCTGTTCAGCCAAGCAGCTTTCTCAGGCTAATCTACTTCACAGTGTTGAGAATAATACGTGGGAGGGGAACCACATCAGTGCTTTGAGCTCCATAGAGGAATGCCATGCATTAGTGTAAAGATGTTATACATTCAAACCCAGGCCTAAGACCTTATCTCTCATGCAAGATGGATTAGAATTGTCCAGCTCCTACTGCATTAATATGTCAGTCTCAGAATGCTCACATGAATATGTTAATCGTATCACAGAATTAGAACCAAACCATCATTTCCCCCTTCTATAGTGGCCTTAGTTTAAATCAATTTGTGAAATCCATCTCCTTGCTACTTCTTGCTGCCTCTGTAGGTGTCCCTGGCCAATGCATGGGGAGGGGCCCTGTACTCTGGAGATTTGCACAGAAAGGAGACTTCCATAAACTGGTTTTCCCACCACAGTGTTCTTCCTGGTGGAATTTTTGCCACTAGGCCTATCTTAAATTTATGCCATCAGATCACAACCATTCCTAGACCCTAGGTAGCTTGTCTTGCAAACCCATCTTTTTCTTGTTCACCCTTTCGCTATATTGCTTCTACCACCATTGTTTCTTCATGTCCCTGCTTTTCCTCCCAGTGTCTAATTGGCCCTGTCTCTTAAAAGCTACCCTGGCTTTTTGCCAGCATCCTTTACTGCCCACCATTCCCCTTTTTTCTGTGTTCACCCCTTTCTTGCCAACAACATGTAATTGCTGCTGTCCTTAGTCATTGTGTGAGTTTTTCCTACATAGCCCCTATTGGACATAATTTCAGCTGTTTTTGCTGTTTTTAGCAGCAGTGTCTCTGGAGGATGTTGGCACAATAGGCTGTTCCCCAGTCAGCCAAGCAGCAGAAGAGGAATTTGGGATGAAGAGAGGGCTGGAGGAGTTCAGCAGTGACTGAATGAGCATTTGCTGCCCAGCTGAATGTGCAAGAGTGCTTGACGCCATTCTAGAGGGGATGTAAGGTTTCTCCTGCATGGCATCATCTTGTGCTGCTCTTAAAACAGTACTGGCCACAGCCACCCATGGCCTCTTCACGTCAGCCTCATAACAGCAAGAAGGCAGTGTGGGTCAAGGTTGCTGCAATGTTAGGGAGAGGTGGGATTGTGTCACCACAGAGACCCCCCCCCCACTTGCTGCCTCAGACACGGGGCAGGATGACTGGCACATTTTGCACCAATGGAAGCATCCAAAGGATCACCAAGGAAGTGCCTGTGCAGGTCACGGTGTTTACAAGCAGTGTTTATACAGGATCTTTTAAAAATCCTTGCTAATCACAACGTACAACTAAACATTTTAAGAAGTCACGTGAAAGCCATTTTTAAGGATTTGGCAGGCACCGGTGTAGTTAAAACGACAGTTCTGTAAAGCAGAGGTCTACTTGAGATGTGTTATTTAGCAGGCCACTTGAGTCCCACAAGTTACCTCAGGCGGTTCCTTTATTTGTTAATGCTATAATTTGTGTAATGACATATTTCTCCAAGTGGTGGGAACTTTTGCTCTTGGCACTGAATCTCCTAGATTCTCTCTGCACAAATGCCCAGTATTTTTGTGGAAAATTTAGACAGAGTTAAACCAGTGCACTCTTCTTCTTTTAATGGACTAGCCACAGGCACCTTTCCAAGGGGCACAAGAAAAAAGAGGGGGTAACACACGCATCAGCATGCTGGGGAGGAAAAACCTTCACTTTTATTGCTGCCCCAGCACTAACAAACCTCCAGAGGAATCCTAAGTCCTACATTCACAATGGCACAGAGCAGTTTATATTCTCATGCCACTCAAGAGAACTGGACAAGGCCATTCGAGTTCTGTCAAAAAAAGAGTTTTTAATACATTTGTATTATGCTGGGTGTATCCCCTGCTTTTATTTTTCAACTCTGGCAGCCCCACAGTAGTGCTTGTGAAGGAGCAAGCAGAGACAGCAGTTTCAGTGAATCTCTTTCCTCTGCACCCAGCAGGATTATGTTGTGCATCTAACTCTGACAGTATTGCAAACCACATACTATTTCCTTTGGCCTTGAAAAGGAAGGTTAAAATCATGCCAGTATTGCAAAATATTTAACGATAGAATATAAAATGAATTGCTTGTATTTTGACATCTTTGCCCCAGCTGTGACTGGCTCTAACTAATTAATTACATCTATTTCCCCCCATGAAATCTGTCCTTGAAAGCAACTGTCTTAGAATGCCACATGCTTGGAAATGACTGAAGGTTGTTTCTGTTCATGCTGTGATTTACGATTAGCTTGATCTGGCAAAAACCTGAGCTCACATATTGAATCCGTTAACACACATATGCCTCTTTCTAGCTACTCCCAGGAAAGGATGTCCAGCATACTATCTGCACCATAATCTATAGTCTGGCAGTAGATAATGAGCTCACTTTGAAATGAGGAATCCTTCTTAGCACTCTGCTCTTGAAGAATCTATAAGCACTGTTTGAAAATAAACTAGAAAAGATAGGATTCAAACTGATTCATCTTCCTTCCAAAGGTAGGTAGTGTGTATATTCTCTGAGCAACTTAATCTTTGCAGATGCCTCTGGCACATGCTTGCTCTTTGCCTTCCCAGTAGTTATTATGCTCAAATGATGTTGCTTTTTTAGAAACTTAGATGAGTCCTACTCATGAGTCTTCTTTATCAGTGGTACCGTCAAGATCACATTCTTCTGCTTCCAAGATTAACTTGGAAGGAGAAAAATAAATGCACATACAAACAAGCTCAACACAAATGAGGTGCTTACTTTTATTATGACCTTAGTAAAGTAGCACCTGCTTTTCACAAAAGTATGATTATTGAGGGGGAGTGAAACTTTCCCAAAGCTCCTCCTTTATTGTATTCAATATTCTATTTCATAAAAAAACTCCTATGACATGTTCACCTGCTGGGAGGAAGATGTGATTGAAATGTAAATCTGCTGTCCTTTTGTCTTATTTCTGTAGTAATATTTAAAAATTATCACTAAGATTTATACTACTGAGAGTGAAAACAAAGAATAGCCAACATGGCCTACCTAATCCAAGAGGAACAGAAGAGAAGGGAAGTAGCTAAATAATTTAGGAGAAGAGAGAGAAGAAAAAAAGTTTGCATGTAAAGAAGAAAAAAATAAAGGGAAAATGGGATACAAAAGTGAGATGAAAGGGAAGTGCCATTGTGGAGGAACTGAACATGTCAAGCTACTTCTCACGACATCAGAGATAATTTCCCATAGACAAGTGAAGGTCTCTAATCTGGCAGTCCAGAGATGAAGGAAAAGAGGCCTCCTGGTTTTGCATGACCATACTTTTTGCCAACAAAACATGGGAATGCCCAGAGAAAAGATGGGATATGTTGGGAATGCCTGGAGAAAAAGTCTCTTTCCAGTTGGCACAACTGAGGTAGAAGAGCAGGACAGCAGGGTAATTCCACTAGCCCTGCTGAAAGGTTCTTACTGTTACCACCTGCAGGCTGTACTGAGGGAGGAGGTAAGCAGGCAAGCAGGGCCACTCTGTCTACCCTGCTAAAAGAACTACTTTTTCCTCCTCATTCCTTCCCATACATTTCTTCTTGTGTATTGTAAATCTGCGGGCCTCGAGTGTCTTGCTTAATTGATGATATGTAAGCCAACGGGCAATATAAAAGCATTTAAATAAATGAAAGTATGGATTAATGTATTAAAATTAGGCTCAGTGGACAAAATAAATTAATCTAAATATTGACCCTAGTTCCTACCCAAATTGTACAAATGTAGAACCCTCCCAAAACATGGAAACAAAATTGATACAAGGAAGAGTCAATGTGCTTTGCTGCAGAGCTCATCTGAGATATTACAATTTGTCAGAGCATCACTCTAACAGGTTTTTGGTAAATAAACCAGGGATATAAATCTAAAGTAGCTAATCTAATAGACACAAGAAACACTGCCATTGGGTCTTCTTAACTGGAATACTGAAATTAAATTCCACAGTTTGGTTCTGAAAGCCAAGCTTAGTTTGATTTCTGGGGAAATTGTGCATTAATATGGTGATCTTTGGAGGTTTTTCAAAACAGAGAAGCAAAGAGGTGAGGATCTGAAGCACCACAAATTTCAGGGCCAAATTCAGAAACAAGGCACTACTTCAGCATTACCAGGTTAAGAATCGAGTACTGACTAAACAGAGGGCAAGTTTCTTGCAAAATGAATGACAAGCCATGCTATTCAACACCACAAGAGTCAATAATTTTCAGGCTGATCTATGTTGAATTAAGCATGCCCACCTTCACTTAGGACCAGGCAGCCAACTGAACTGCAGCGAGATCTGCACAGCATACTAAAGTTGACTAGGCAAACAAAGCTGTCCTAAAAAAATTAAGGTGGATAACTTGTGTCCCCTCCAGATGGTTTGGCCACAATGTTCTTCAACTGGTGTGGCTCATGGTGAAGGATGATGAGAATCGTGGCTCTCCAGACATTTTGGCCTTCAGGTTGCCCACCTCTATTTGTAGATGCATCAAGTACACACAGTTGGTCTCTGCCTTCTATTGTTAGAAGAGCAATCAAACGCTTTCTAGCATTTCAAAGAGTGGGGAAAGATTCTGTTTAGGCCTTACTAATTGTAGGTCCTATTTTATAGAACATTTTTCAAGCAGAGCCTTTGTCGCTGACTGCTGTTCACTGAAAAACAGAACTCTTATGTCAACTATATTCAAGAGGAAGAGGAAGAAGATCTCTGCCTTTCCTATGCCACTCATATCCCACACACAAAGTTACTGGCATAATGCTGTCAGGACCAACTCCTTGGTTTTCTTTATCTGTATTATTTTTGAAATGGGGTGACCAGAACTGAATACAATATTCTAAATGTAAATACATCTTGAGGCTTTAGCATCTGTCACTTTTCTAAAAATTCCTAACACCGCTCTTGCCTTTTTTCTTGCTGCAGCATGCTGATATGCAGCTGAATCCTATGGAACAAAAGAAGGTGTTTATTTATTTATTATACTTATATTATATTTTATTTCAAGGATCCCAAGGCAGCTTACATAATCTCCCTTCTGTCTGTTTTATCATCACAACAACCCCTAAGTTACTAAGTGTGGATTAGGCTTAGAGAGCCAATGTGGTGTAGTAGTTAAGATTGTGGGTATAGGACTCAGGTGTCCTGGGCCCCCCTTAGTCATGGAGCCAACTGGATGACTTTGGGCCAGTTGCAGACTCTTAGCCCAACCTATCTCACAGGGTTGTTGTTGTGCGGGCAAGATTGAGAAAAGGAACAGATTTATGTAAGCCACCTTGAGTTCTCTGAAAAGAGAAAAAAGGTGGGATATAATAAATGAGTATACATAAATGTAAGTTGCATGGCCAAGTGGAAACTAGAACTCAGATCTCCCTGGTCCCAGGCCAGCACTCTAACCACTCTGCCACACTGCCTCTCTATTTATGATTGGGCATTTGATCTATGTAGCTTTATCCCAGCAAACCTTTAAGCAGTCTAGTTTAGTATTAAGCCAGCCTTCCCCAGTCTGGTGTTATCTAGATGCGTTTTGCCATAGTTCCCATAATCCTCAGTCACCATGGCCATTTGTTGGGATGCTTCTAGCAGAGTAGGGGCTGCTATATTGGATTTTATATCTGATCTATGCACTGCTGCAATAAGGCACCATAATGGTCCATTGCTATAATTGTGTGAAATGTTTATCGGGGCCAACTCAAAACATTTGATGCCCAAAGGAGAGTAACAAATAAGGGTATGCATGCTTGTCAAGGTGCATAATATTCCAATTATTTTGGTACCTGAGATGGATCCATCCTTCCTTCCCTTTCTCCTTTCCTGGAAGAATATTCTAGCAAGGAACATAGCCAAGGGGCTTGGGAAACCAATCTGCATCAGTATGACTGTCCAAAGCTACCTCTGCTTATATAAAAGAGATATCCCAGAAATCACATGGAGGATGTGAGGACATTTCTTGCCAAGCCAGTTTCCCATTGAGCAGATTGAATTGCACTCCCAGAGCAGACCTGCTGCTGCCCCCCCCCCCCCCCCCCCAGTTGAATAGCTTATTTGTGAGGGACGCATCCTTTGTCTTCACCTGAATAGCCAAGAGCCAACATCAGGCCAGCTGTGCCAGAGTTTGCAGGGCCTAGAAACTGCTTAGTAAGCGACTCTTACAGTACTGATAAGTAAGATCTGGTAAGCTACTCTGATGTTTTATTTTAAAAGCAACATTATTTCTCAACCCCCACCCCCCATCTTTGGTGGGTTTGCATGACATCCTAAACCCCTGATCCATTGGGATGGAGGAGAGGGTCTCCTCAGTGGCTGCTCCTAGGTTTTGGGATTCTCTATCTAGGGAGGTCCTGCTTGCCCCCTTTCCTGATGGTTTTCTGCCATCTGACAGGCATTGGCCTGCCAAATTTTGTTTCCCTTTTCCTTCAGATTTGATTTTATATTCCTGGAACTGTGAACTCTTATCTCCTGCCTCTTTTTAATTACATTTTTAAAATGTTATTTTTGAATTGTCTTGACTGGTAAATGGAGTGTTTTTAAATGAATGGGGTGGGGCATAAATATGTTAAATAACTACAGGTAGGATCGGTTTACCAGTCAAAAGTCTAAAGAATATGTGAGTGCAAAGATGCCCAGATCAGAGGCAGTTTGATTGTGAGGAAAAAAAAATCTGGAAAAAGTATTGTTGCAGCCCTGAGGTTAGGCAGCAAACTGCTTGTGAATCGGGCAGCGGAGAAAAATGTACTAACGGCGCAGGAGGTTTTTGTTAGTTTGGCAATGTTTTATGTTCCCACACTCTTCGTTTCCCTTCCACTGATGCAAAGATGTTTCAACCACAGTCCAATAACAACGGTTTCACTCGTAACTGGTGCTAACGTATTTATGAAACGAGAGAGTATTTAGCATTATTTCTTGCAGAGCTAACGGGCTCGCGCTACACTGGGCATTTTGCATGATCTAAATATAACAGCTGTCCGGTACGGCCACGTTGCGGATTTGTTGTAGCCTGCGGGGTCCAGAGAAAGGGGTGGGGCGACTGGCGCGGGATGGGAAGGTTACAGAGGCGAGCGGGAGTGCTTCTCCTCTCTGCCAGATGGAGGCTGCGCGCCGTCAAGAGAGAAATGGTTGCCGTTAACTAGAAGCAACCCGCCCACCGAAGACTCCACTCGCTGGTTCTGCAAACGGCTGCAGTCGATATAGCTCCCAGCAAGGGGGGAGGGGGCTGCTGGAACCGGGTGGGATAAAGGGCGGGGGGCTGAAGCCTCCCTCCCCTCTCGTAGGTGAGATTCCTTGGTAACCGGCCCTTCGCTAGGGAAGAGTCCCCGGCCTTCCTTACTGGCTGCGCGGCGTGGGCGTCCCCTCCCTGCGCTTCGCCTGAAGGGGCTGCCCTGGCACGGCTCTCCGGGAAAGGGGCGAGGGCGGCTCGCCGTGCTCCTGCAGCTCCAGCGCCTCTCCAGCCCCCGCCCCCCGCGAGGTGTCTGGCGGAGTCCCCACGGCAGACTTCCCCTCACTCGTGCACCCCGCCCACTCGCCCCGCGCCGGAGGGGGCGGAGCCGGGCAGCGGGCCAGTGTGGCTCCAGGCGGGGCCGGGCTAGCCCGTAGCGCTGCTCCCTCCTGGCAAGAGGCGCCGCTCTCCGCCCCGCTGCGCCTTGTGTGCGCGCGAGCGGGAGTGACTCGGCGGAGGTGCGGGCTCAGAGCGGGCTGCAGGTGGCGTGGAGAGCGGCCGCGGCAGCAACAGCACCATGAGCGGCGTTGGGGCGGCGGCCACCGCCGCTGCCGCTTCTCTCTTGGCCGGGAAGAGCGAGAAACTGGACGAAGCTCAGGCGCTGGCCCGCAGCTGCGCCGGGAGACCCGACTTCCAGCCTTGCGACGGGCTGTCGCTGTGCACCACTCACAGCCACGGCCGCTGCTTCCGCCTGCACTGGTGCTGCCACCTGGGTTGGTGCCACTGTGAGTACTGGGGGACTCGGGGGCTGGGCTGGGACGGGACGGGAGCCAGGCGGGTCACAGGGGCAGCTGGACGAGCCCCTGCAAGCTGCTGGCGACTGGAGGGTTGCGCGCCTGCTGCAGGCGGTCAGAGCCCCCCGTCTGGGCGCTGCAGATTTCTAGCAAGGTAGCGAGCGAGCAGGCGGGGACTGGTGATTTGCGCCGGGCTTTTGGGGCTGGGTTGCTGGCGACGAGAGCGGCGGAGGCAGCGAGCATCTCGGAGGGGAACACCCTGCTCGCATCCCTGGGATCGGCTCCAGGCTCTGCCTCTTTGGGAGCTGGCAGGCGCTTACCCGTCTTCTTTGCCCTCGCCTCGGTGGTTCTGGCACCCAGAGGAAAGATTTGACGGCGTGATCGATAGTGACTGATTTCACGGCTCCCGGAAAGCTAGATGGATTTATCTATTCTCCCGGGGAGACGAGGACAAACCAAGAAATGGGATGGGCTGGCTGTTCACCGTTAGACTCGCGGGAGCAGAGGGGCACAAACAGACTTCTCTGTGAAAACGTTGGCAGAACAACCTTCCTCCCTGCATTCCCTGGAACTTGGGTGGAGGGGTGAAGGGCATCCCCAAATAATTCCACCTTGTTTCCTTGCTGTAAGGAGCTCCCTCTCCTTTTCTATCAATTAGAACCACTGGAGTTGTAGGTTCCTTGTGTAAGTGCAGATATTCAGACCCATCATTCAGTGGGATGGGCAGCAAAATGTCTAGGTCTTTTCCTCATTGGATTCCTTATACCAAGACTGTTGTGATGTGTAAGATCTGACACAAAAGTAAATAATAGTAATTAATGTGATCTGTTAGGTTATACTCAGGAATGGCCTGCAAAATACCATCTGTGGTTTGTGTACTAGCACTCTGTTATTAAATCTCATAGACTGGAGCCACAATTAATAAAGCTAGTAATTTCTGTGTGTCGCTGTGTTTCCAAGCTGTTCAAGGATCTTCCCTGGCAACCTGAAATGTAATCTGTGCCAAAAGAAAGCTCTCAAGATGTACTGAATGGCTTTGTGTAAATGTATTCTTTCCCTAGAAAGGTTTAAGATTTTGTTTCTTCACTTCTATGCTAAAAACTCCTAATTGGTTGGTATTCCCTTATAGATTAAAGCCACCCAGAATGGGAGGCAGGCCATGCCGAAGAAAACACAGATTATAACATTTAAATTATAGTCGTTATCCCTACATCTACAGTTTTTATTGCAATGAAACTCAGTAATATCTAGTCACCAAACAAATGACAGCTGCTTGCAATGATCATTCCATTATATAGACTAGAAATGGAAAACTGGGAGACAGATACATGGGGCTTGTTACAGCAGAAAAAAATCATTTTACCATTTCAGCACACCATGGGGTTTTTCCTCACTCATCACATGCTAGGCTCATGTCCCAGTTCTTGTGACTTCAGGAAATTAACGTATTAGGGAGATAGGTTGTTATAATTTTTACTTTGTGTTTTTGAACTGTATTTCATCTGTAACTTAGAAGGTCCTTTTGAAAATTGCCTCCTCCCACCCCCAAATGGTGAAGCTGTCGCTCAGAGGTTTATGCTCCCTGCCCTCATCTATATTTTCATTTGTTTGGGTGATCTCACCTTTTCAAGTTGTCAGGGTTTTTGTTGCTTGTTTTTTTGTCGATATATTATCTTAGCTACTTAGCAATGCATCAACATGCTAGCAATGGTACTAAAACTAAAATTCTGCAGGGACTATGGGCATGATTAAGATGAACTACAATTCCCCTTACCTTGCCATGTGTATTCAGTTGCCTGGCATTCTTAATCTATACTTCGTTTTTGTATTTTCTTCTCCAGAATTAGGCTGTTGCTGAGTGGAACACTGTTCCAGTAAAGCCCTAATGATGTCATACACATCAGTGTTCACTAGGTGCTCTGATAATGTTCTTGGTTTCCTGTTCATAAAACACACTGAAGCCTATTTGAAGTGGCTGCATTAGTACTCTTAATCAAGTGGCTGAGTTTATTCTTCCACTTCTACAGCAGCATGATCAGAAGCATCCCTTGAATTAAGTATAGTGTTTCTGTAGGACCAAGATTTTGTGAAGGCATTCAATATAAATTCTCCTATGTGTGACAGAGCTTAGAGCTCCTGTTAGTTAACAGTTTGGTATTATGCTTCCTTTTTCTAATCATGAGTTGGCCTTTTCACGTAATATTTCTCATGAATTGAGGTAAAGGAAATGCAGCAGAAGTTGTATCAGAATTAAATTTGGGTTTTGGTTATGGAAATAGAGCAGGTTACTCTAATGAGTACAAAATTGAACATTATGTTAAAAGCATGTCTGTGTCTGTCTTGTGTGTGTGTGTGTTTGTGTAACTACCCCCCCCAACAAACAGCTGTGGAGGCCCCAATTAGGGATAATGAAGGCATGTGAATGGATTAAGTGACACTGTATTTATGTGAATCTGACCCGTAGTATCTACAATGGACCAGCTTTTCAAGACTTGTGGACCATTTTTTAAAAGTTTTTGGAACTGAACACAATTTTATTGTATAAAGTTAGGAACATAACTGTAAAATACACTATATGCCTTTTAAAAATAAAACCTGACAATTTATACATTCCTGAACTATCTTCAGCCTCTATAGATTACAATTATTTTGTGTACTCTGCTTATAGCTTTTGTGGTGAGCAAAGAAAAATACTGAAAATGTTCCTTCCCCAATGAACATTCCATAAATTGTGTGTGCATATATGCTTTGGGAGTAATCCGAATCCATTAATGAGTGGATAATGGAGTAGACCACACCAGATAACCCTCAAAACACAGATGAACTGGATTAAATGCAATCACATCTCCTAACATCCAGATTTTTTTTTACCGAACACTTCCCTGATGCTTGTTTGCCCCAGGATAAAGCTGCTGTTGGCAATAAATTATGACAGGCTGTGTTGGTTATCAGCTCTGTCCCTGTGGGAAACTGCACCAGTCCTGGACATGGGAAATTATGGAGCTGGTACAAATTGAAGATGCTACAAGGGGGATATAACCTTATAAAAGGGAAGGGCTGTAACTTAGTGGTGAAGCGCACACTTGGCATGCAAAAGTCTCCAGGTTCAATCTCTGCTATCTCAAAGGGAAGGGAAGGGAAAACACTCTGAATTATGGATAACCAAGTAGATGAACTGATCATTTGACTCAGTTGAAGTCAGGTTTCAGTGTTCCAAGCAGGATACCTCACATTTGTGGAATGTGCCTGATCTATTAATGCTAAATCAGTGACTTCTGTGTTAACGGAGAAACAGAAGTGTGGGTGAAGTGGCAAACAGGAACAAATAATTTTGAGGATCTAAATATCATGGTTATTAATAAGGTCACAAATGGTGGCTAGACACATCAGGCGGCTGAAGGCCTTTTCCAGAGGTAGAGACAGTCTTGCTACTGATTGTGTAAGATGTTAAATCCCATTTTTGGAATCCCAGAATGAGGTGGCATATTTTGCATCAATCCATGGTTAAGGGGCAAGGGTTATGGCACAGCCGTGTGTATTAGGCAAAAGGAAAGCAACAAGAAATGTGAGAACATGGGACCTGCTTGCCCAGTTAACTAGTTCCTCAGTTAAAATTGGCAGATCATGATTACACTAGAGAACGTTCCCTTGGTGGTAACGGTCCTTTTAAATTTCTTTTTCCCTTTTTGACTTTTTATATGAATATTTTCTGTTTAAAGTCTGCCCCTGATTTCCAAATCTTTCTTTTCTGCAAGAAAAACAGATGTAAACAATTATAAGTGCTTCTTATTAATTTAGCACAGAAACAGGGTATCTAAAGTTTCCCTTCAGGAATATTACGTAATTAAAGATATTTTTAGCTAAATATAAATTGTAACTTCCAGTTGTTGTAGATTTCAGTACGTGCACGCACGTACTGAAAGAGAGAGAGAGAATCTGTTGATTACAATTAACTTGCCATCTTTGGTTCATGTGACTGGTGCAGGATGGTGTTTTGGAAAATAAGAGCAATTTTTAGTATGTGACACAAGTTGTACCTTGCAGCTTCAGCAGACTCTAATTTTTAGGATGTAATACAGTGTTTCCCTGCATTTGTCATAGCAAGCAGCATGCCAGTTGCAGCTGAACTTGTGGCCTCTAATGTGTCTGCAACCTGGTTGGTATTACTCATGTCAGCCACCCAGATTATGTCTAAGCAAGATGATGTATATAATCAACTATATTTGTCCTCTTTACCTCCACGTGATAGTTGCCTTGGGAGCATTTTCATAACATATTATTGCAGAACCTCTCAAATTTTTTGTATTTTAAAATAGTGAATCACTCAGGACCTATTTCCACAGTGAGAATGATTAAAACTGTATTTCATTGGGAATAGTATAGTAGAGTTGGAAGGGGCCTATAAGGTCACAGAGTCCAATAGAAAAGGGATTGGTGAATGATCCAGACTAACAGTGCAATTCTGTGCATCTCTACTCAGTAAACAAATTGAATTCAGTGGTACTTATTTTCAAGTGTGTGTAGGATTGCAGCATAAGTGATTCATGAGGTTGGGCAGAAAGCTTTCATCTGCTTAGAGTAGCTGCTTTTTAGTAATTAATTTCCTAGGCATAGGACAGATATGGGTTCTTGCTTAAGCCATTAGAATTTATTTACTTAGATCTACTTTATGAGAGCAAATGATCTAGGAAGTAGCCCCAAACAAATTATTTGTCCACTGGTATCTCTAGCATCCTGATCTTTCTTGTCATTGATTTATTTGTAAGGAGTTCTTACAAATGTATTCTTCTTTGATACAGATAGCTAAAGTAGACAGCCTTCACTTCTCGTTTGACTGATGTGGAGTTAGAGGAAGGGGTATGTGTCTCACCATAGCCCACAGAAATTGTCCCCATCCAATGTTGGGGATCCCCATTCCCCTTGCATTTTTCCAGGCCCTGCAGCCTTTTCAGTCATTATTTTCAGAGGGTGATGATATTGCTGCTGTGGGA